TGATCATATAAAATGCCCAAAGATCAACAGTTTGTGAACTTCAGGCTGTTTTTCAGTTGGCATTCATAATATAGGAGAACAGATGAAGCAAATCAGCACTGTTTTTTATTTCTTTTCCTGATTTTTAAATTAATAATAACGACATATACAGATTCCCTTTTTTTATCAGATATCTTCATTTAAACACTATAAAATAGGAGAAAATATATATATTTGTTGCCAATTGTTCAGGTAAAGCAGAAAAGTAGAAATATTTCATGTTTCTTTCACTGAATGAGCAAGATGCATGAATGTAGTCTAACTGCCATAATTAGAATTCCCCTTTTAAAATAGTGCTATTAAAATTGTATATGAACTTTCCTATCACTATTTTTATAAGGACACATACATTTAATATTAAGTAAGTTAACAGCAGTTGGGTTGATTCAGATGAAGGCCACAAAAGACCATTAAATAATTATTAATTCCCAAAAGAGTATTGCAAAACAGACCACCGTTGATTTTTAAGAACCTGAAGAGATTTGCAAGTTCAGCTTTGAGCAGCACCCACATTTTGTACGCTATTCGAACTGCAGAGCCATATTCTGTTATGAAAACCTGTCCTGAACAGTTCAGATTTTCCAGCGACAGAACTCCTTTCTTTTCATATATTGTTACTTTCATTACCAGGCCTATCTGGAATCAAGAAGTGCTTGCAGAGTCTTGCAAAAATGGGAAGAAAGTGAACCACATTGCTTTTCAAACTTCAGAAAAAGTTCCATTGGGATTCAGTTTGAGTTTTGGGAGAAGGCGCATATTGTTTATTATTTTATTTGAATTGGTCCACCCAGCTATTCAACACTTTTACCTATCTATCATTGCAGTTCGTCGGAAAAGGGTGGGGAATTGTAGCATTGAGCTGAGATGAAAGACACCAGCAGGAAGTAATTGCCTTTGATTAGTGAGTTTGCCTCTAGCCCCGTGACTTGGTTAGATAGCCCAAAGCTCAAGAATATACCAAGTTAAGGCCAAGGCTCTCAGTAAAGTTGCCAGCTGTGTCAGTCTGAATGGCTTCCCCAACACTTTGTAAAGGATTTTTGTTAATGACTGTCTCTCCTTGTGTAATTAACTATCCTTATTTTGAAAGTGTACACCAAAAGTCTTAGGACTCTATTAATCCCAGTGTACTTAACCCTATATCAGCATGCAAATTCAAATTCAAATTCAAATTATGCAATGACCCTTAGACCTGAAAAAAAAATTCAGCCAAATCATAATAGCACACCATATCAGAGCTACTTTTATTGTTGTGGTTAATAACACTATTAATAATAATTACTAATGACTAATAGTAGCAATAGTAATAATAATAATTATTATTATGTTAATTATTATTTTTAATTTTATTATTTTGCACTGAATTCATGATTCCATTCACAAACCCAGCTTTTTAATTAGTGAGCATATTCCAGGGCCACTGCATGACTACAATTTTAAAAGAGTGTAATGCTGTTAAATCAATGGTCTTACACTAGTATAAAAGTGGAGTGTCACAGTGAAGAGATGAATCAGGATCTTCCTATCAATGGTAACCTCTTATTAATTTTACGTTAGCCCATTATTTTGTCTGTGGCTAAAAGTTCTTAGAATGCCTTTACTGACAGTGTACTATGTGCACTCATAGAATGTGCAGCTTCCCTGAAGTACAGATGGACTGCTCAGTAACAACATGAGGATATATGTCATTAGGCCATCAGGTGCCACTATTCTATCTAGAGTGCGCCAAAGGAGTTAAGATATTGATTAGTAAGCAAACCATTAGTATTTAAATATTAACCCCTCTACTCTTTTTTTAAAAAAGGTTGGTTTCTTTCTTTCAATTGTGTTGAGCTGACATTACACACTTTAATTGACTATATATACTACTTAGAATTTTGTTATTAAGTCCAATTTCCCTTGGGGAAATTATCTGGCTGAACAATAATAGAAAATGGAAATCAGTTGTTGCCAATACAGCTCTAAAATACTCCTCATACTCCACCCTGAGAAAAGTCGGTTTTCATTAAGCACTGGCGGAAAAAGATAGTGGAATCATTACAAGGTCTAAAACCTTTCCAAGTTCATTCAAGGAAGCTTTGACTTAAATAGGGCTTGGGTCACACCAGTTCAACTTAAAAAACAAAACAACCTATCGCAACTTTTTAAGAGTGTGCACTGGCCTTGTTGAATCTGTTTTAGAATTTCAAAGCAAAAATTCTGATAGAATTCTTAAGAAAGAGATTCCTCAGTTTGAGGTTAAGCCTTTATCAGAAGATGCCCAAGCACAGGAATGTATATCATTCCATACCCATATTTAATGTTTAATGTTTACATTTTGATTAAATATGGACTTGAATGTTCTGAATTTTTTAAACAAGAATTAGATTAATAGATATTAAAGTAAAAAGGGAGTTTGAAGAACAGCTAGCCAAAAACTCAAAAAGTAATAGCAAAATGTTTTTTAAGTACATCTGAAGCAGGAAGCTGGCTAAACAACCAGTGGGGTCCTTGGACGATCGAGATACTAATGGAGCGCTCAAGGATGATAAAGTCATTGCACAGAAGCTAAATGAATTCTTTGCTTTAGTCTTCATGGCTGAGGATATTGGGGAGATTCCCAAACCTGAGCCATTCTTTTTAGGTGACAAATCTGAGGAATTGTCCCAGACTGAAGTGTCATTAGAGGAGGTTTTGGAACAAATTGATAAACTTAACAGTAACAAGTCACCGGGACCAGATGGCATTCACCCAAGAGTTCCGAAAGTATTCAAATGGAAAATTGTGGAATTATTAACTGTGGTTTGTAACTGTGGTTTGAATTGTGGAATTATTAACTGTGGTTTGTAACCTAGATTTTAAATCAGATACGGTGTTACACAGATTAGGAAAACTGCTGATGAGTAAAATGTAGATTTATTGTTATTCATGGTTTTGTGGCTGAAATTTTTTTTGTTTGTTTTTGAGCTCCTAGTGATTTTTTCTAAAATGGTAGAGTGTACCAGTCATGTTTCAAATGCCACAGTACTGTGATAAAGTTATCATAATGGGACTTTATAAGAACATAAGAATGGCCATACTGGGTCTGACCAACCGTCTATCCAGCTCAGTATCCTGTCTGCCAACAATGGCCAATACCAGATGCCTCAGAGAGAGGGAACACAACAGGTAATCCTCACATGATCGCTCCCCTGTCACCCACCTCCAGAGAAATAGAGGCTAGTCACACCATTACTACCATCCTGGCTGATAGATTCATGGAGGTTAGGTCCATCAATGGCTATCTAGCTCTTTTTTGAATCCTGTTAAAATTCTGTCCTTCACTGCATCCTCTGGCAAGGAGTTCTACAGGTTGACTGTGCGTTGAGTAAAGAAAATCTTCCTTTTGCTTGTTTTAAACCTGATGCCTATTAATTTCATTTGGGGATCCCTGGGGGTACGTCTACACTAGCTTGTTAATTTAGCTAGGTAGGCAAATCAGTCAACCGGAGTTGCAAATGAAGCCCGGGATTTAAATATCCCAGGCTTTATTTGCAAGTTCCCGTCCGGCCTCCGTTTTTAAATCCCCCTTAGTTCGAATGAACTGCCCGTGGCAGTTTAAAGTTAATCCATGGTACACCCACATCATGAATACTGCATACAGATGGGGTCTCCTCAACTTAAAAAAAAAATTGGCATTGAAAAAAGTTCCAAAAAGGGCATAAAAATGATTAGGGATATGAAATGGCTACCATTTGAGGACAGATAAATAAAACTGGGACTTTTCAACTTGGAAAAGAGATGATTAGGATACAGATCTATACAATCATGATTGTTATGGAAAAAGTGAATAAAGAAGAATTATTAACAAGCTAGTGTAGACGTACCCCCAGGGATCCCCAAATGAAATTAATAGGCATCAGGTTTAAAACAAGCAAAAGGAAGATTTTCTTTACTCAACGCACAGTCAACCTGTAGAACTCCTTGCCAGAGGATGCAGTGAAGGACAGAATTTTAACAGGATTCAAAAAAGAGCTAGATAGCCATTGATGGACCTAACCTCCATGAATCTATCAGCCAGGATGGTAGTAATGGTGTGACTAGCCTCTATTTCTCTGGAGGTGGGTGACAGGGGAGCGATCATGTGAGGATTACCTGTTGTGTTCCCTCTCTCTGAGGCATCTGGTATTGGCCATTGTTGGCAGACAGGATACTGGGCTGGATAGACGGTTGGTCAGACCCAGTATGGCCATTCTTATGTTCTTATAAAGTCCCATTATGATAACTTTATCACAGTACTGTGGCATTTGAAACATGACTGGTACACTCTACCATTTTAGAAAAAATCACTAGGAGCTCAAAAACAAACAAAAAAAATTTCAGCCACAAAACCATGAACAACAATAAATCTACATTTTACTCATCAGCAGTTTTCCTAATCTGTGTAACACCGTATAATATAAAAACTATATTATGATATTGATGGAAAAAATAGATAATTAAACAATCATGTGACTTTTAGGATAAAATCTAGGTCCTTTTGAAGGCAATAGCAAAACCCTCATTGACTTCAATAGAGCTAGGATTTTACCCCTTTATCCCTCATGTGAACCTGAACTTGCACTAACATGCACTTATATGATTAAAGGAAAATATAAAATATGTTTATTGTGGAGTCTTGCTGAACAAATCAAGTTATGCATGCTTTGGCTATTCTGTCACTAATAAAAGATTGCTATTAGTTCTGGGTTTTAATCCTTTAAATATGTTTCTTGGTCACAGGACTATGAATGTCACAGAATGCGCAGGGAAAGTTGTTTAGCCATTTGTCAAGTCCAGATGTCTCTTTTAGAATTAGTATTATTGGAAAGCAGCACTCTGCATTCCCAAATAAGTATTCCCAAAGCCCAACTCTGCCAAAAATCAAGTTAAGATCGGATGGTGGTGCTTGAGAGAATAAAGAGTAATCCTCACAATTTTTATTTTATTTTATGTTTTGCATTTAGCCTCATGAAGATTTTCTCCTGTAAATAATTATAGCTTTGTGATTGACATCACCTTTCCAGTTTATGCATCCCTCATAAAGGTAAGCCAATTAAAGATGCAAATGTGTCATGCATGTTTTACTAATGTATAGATATATATGTGGCCCATTTCTCCATTCTCATTAGTGTTTACTCTAGGGGTAGATCCTTTGACTTCAGTTGAGTTACATCTGATTTACTACTTAGCCATAGGGGTATCAGACTTGTGTTCTGAATAATATATGATAAATTTTAAGTATATAAAACACCATAGTTGTAAGAAAAGCCTGCTTGAATGACCTACCAGTTAATTGTGCGACTTCACATTAAAAGGTAAGATCAAGGCTGAAGAGATGAACTCAATAAATGGAGCAAATGTATGTCTCCAGTGTAAATGAAAGTATAAATTCTCTGTGTTTGTTCTAGCAAAGGCTGCAGGCTCTTTACCACAGGAGATCTCACCTGGTAATGTTAGCTTTAACAGTAAAGTGATATCATTGTGACAAAATTTTAGATAGTTAGATACCAAAGTAGAACATTGTAGGCTATGACCACATGAGGGGTAGTATGTATGAGAAAATAGAATCTTATATGGTACAGTAGGACATATGGAAGATATGTCAAAGATTCTGTTTTAACTTGATCATTCCAAGCCCTTTGACAGTCTTCAAGTGCACTGATTAAACCCAACATTTCTGATCTGATACATATACACGAACTAATCTTGTTATGCTTAAAAGACGCACATGGGATCTTTTTCAGGGAGATAAGCCAACACACCACATTTATTGATAATATAACAAAGTAGCACACACACACACACATCCTGCTGATGGAATAGTTACCAAACTGTTGCTCGACCCAATATGTTGGGTGCCAGGGAGAGAGAGAGCCGGGTTCTTTTCAGTCCGGACTGATGCTCCATAGTCTTAGCAGGATGAGAACCCAAAGAACCATACAAAACACCCCATCCTTTATAGGATTTTCCTTCCATGCAAGTCTATACATTTTGCCTTGTCAGGCCTTAATCAGTCATTCAGCATTACAATCAGTTTTTCTGTGACATATTTTTATCTGGAGGTTGTTCTCGCAGTCCTCTGATATCAGTATGCTGATGAACCCTCCTGGGTGTTGTCTTCTGGTGAAAGCTGTTATTGGTTCCCTATCAAGGGATGCTTACCACTAACTTCAGGGTTCCATCAATCTGCCCCAGTAATCTGTGTCTTCAGTGTGCTGTCACTTAGTTGATAGTTATTTGGTGCTTCTGAGTTTCCTTCCTCTGACCATTTGAGCATGCAGTGGCCTTCACACTTATCTCTCCTAAAACATTCTCTTTCATTCACACAAACAATACATTCGGGCTACATCTACACTGGCATGATTTTCCGAAAATGCTTTTAACGGAAAAGTTTTCCGTTAAAAGCATTTTCGGAAAAGCACGTCTAGATTGGCAGGATGCTTTTCCGCAAAAGCACTTTTTGCAGAAAAGCGTCCATGGCCAATCTAGACGTGGTTTTCCGCAAAAAAGCCCCGATCGCCATTTTTGTGATCGGGGCTTTTTTGCGGAAAACAGTACTATGCTGTCTACACTGGCCCTTTTGCGCAAAAGTCTTTCGGAAAAAGACTTTTGCCCGAATGGGAGCAGCAAATTATTTCCGGAAAAGCACTGATGATTTTACATGAGATCGTCAGTGCTTTTCCGGAAATTCAAGCGGCCAGTGTAGACAGCTGGCAAGTTTTTCCGCAAAAACAGATGATTTTGCAGAAAAACGTGCCAGTCAAGACACAGCCTTACAGAGTTGCAGCATGGAACAAAGGGGTACTTCCAGTCACTTTAACAAAGTTACAAAGTCTTTGAACATTAAATTTCTTTCTCTCTACTACAAGGCTTTATCTAATGCTGAAATCACTAGGCATTACAATGTTCCATCCCTTCACTTCAACATGCTAACATCAAACAGAGCTGGAGCTAAGTTAACAAAGCTGCCTGGCCTATCTGAGGCCTACATCTTGTATTTAAGTTTAATCCAAACCTTTTGCTATAACATATATTCATTATAACTAATTGACTTATTAGTTACAAAATTCCAGGGCTACAATCTGATAATAAGAATATATAATGAAATAGATTGATACTGCTTACGTCCATTACCTTTTGTGCCTCATAATCTTTCCTGTCATAGCTCCTCCATGAAGTAGTGACTGTCTAGACCAAGATCTTTTGTTAAAAATTTCCTATATTTAAACTCATGATAATTTTTCATTACTATTGAATCTACCAGAAATTCAAAACCCTTAGGCTGTGTCTACATTGGCATCCCTTTCCGGAAAAGGGATGCTAATGAGACACTTCGGAATTGTAAATCCGCGGGGGATTTAAATATCCCCCGCGGCATTTGCATTTACATGGCTGCCGCTTTTTTCCGGCTCGGGGTTTTTGCCGGAGAAAAGCGCCAGTGTAGACGCGATTCTCCAGAAAATAAGCCCTTTTCCGGAGGATCCCTTATTCCTACTATTCCTATCCCTTTCAAGTAGGAATAAGGGATCTTCTGGAAAAGGGCTTATTTTCCGGAGAATCATGTCTACACTGGCGCTTTTCTCCGGCAAAAACCTTGAGCCGGAAAAAAGCGGCAGGCATGTAAATGCCAAATGCCCCGGGGGGAG